TTAAAACTTCTCTCCTATTCGGAGGATAACTTTTCAGACTTTATGGAAAGAGCCAACAGATAATCTCAAGTCTCTTAATCCTTTGAATGGCATCTAATATAAGATGTCGGGAAACTAATTAAGGAGTCCTAATTCGAAAAGGTTAAAGTTGCCTAAGACGACCTAACAGATAAAAATTTTAGAGCGCCGCTTAGATTGCATTTGCAAAGCTTTAAAAGTCATCTAATCAACCTAAAACAGGCTTTACGAGCAGTTGAAAGAAAGCCGTTGTTAGGTGCCCCTGTATTGAACGTTTCCACGCCCTCAATAAGCGTTAAGCAAAATCACTATCTTGGCGAAAATTAAATTCAACCGCTCGCTTCTTGGGTGTTATTGTTTTTTCCACCTATGTTAAATAAATATTGTTTCAATTTTTATCCGTATTTAGATCTCATTTTAACGGTTAATTGCTAATTACTTGCAGTGTATTATCAGCATACCCTATCAACTTTTCGAGTGATTAACTTGAACCTTTTCCGTTGCCAAAGCCGCGGCTTGACGATGATATCTATTGAAGACCTCTAAGTCTGTCACCAGCTTTTAAGTGACCTCAATAATTACCCCCACTAAACATTCCCTGCCCATGTGCTATAACTCTGTATTACGCCAGTATTCGCTGGACATCGTTTGTGTATTTATCTATCGTGTAATCATGATCCCCTGTCTGTTCTTATACTCCATAGAAAAATCAATATTGCCAAATTAATACTATAGAATATGGACTCAATATGGGAAGACAAATGACGCCATGCAAAAGAGTTGCCAAAGAGGATTTGATTAACTGGATAGTCACACGCGTCCACAGATTTAATCTGACCGCGAACTCAGTAAAAAGAATCTTGAATGTCATTGTTGACCCTTTCGTCATAAAAATAATATGCGTCGACGTCTTTCCTTTAGAGGTAAAAACGTTCCGACCATTGTCAAAAGATAAAGGAAGAGCTCCTGCTAAAACGAATTCCTTTTATACACTAACTACATTTTCAGCAATTCCTACATATCTTGACTGTGACGATGAAAATACTGACCAGCAAAATGAACTTCATTGGCCACGAATCGAAAGGGCACGACTTTCCGACTCTTCATTAAATCCCCTGAGGAAGGACGGCTTGTCCGTCCGAAATATCGGGAAACCTCAAATCACTTTTCTCTTTGCTGTTTTGTTATTTAATGTCACTATTTCCTCGTTGCTTTTACCTCGGAAAGTGTGGGTTTACGGGGGGAGAATTCAAATCTCGGGTTCCCGTGCAACCTTTCTTCTTAGACCTCACATACCTCTGTTCTTCACCTGAACTATAGCCCGCGAGCAACGATCTTGGACAAAACAGACAGAAATTTTAGATTCGCTGTCCTCCTCAAATCAAAGATGGGAATATGTTGAATTTGGCGCTCTTTGGACTTCGCGTCGCTTTATCCTTGATTTCGGAGGATGGGGGTTTACTGTTCCATTTTGTCCGGTCAAAGATTGAACATGGGGGCGGGGATGGGGATGGGTTAGGGAGTAGGGAGGGCGACCCCCGCCCTCTAAAGCTTGCATCTACTCTACCTGAAATGACTTCTTCAATTTGAGATGGAAAACCCACGATCTAAAATCCACACCCGGCAGCTATATTGTACACGGCGGTTCCCAGTCTTTATGAAGCTAATACTTTGAAAAATGGCCGTCGAAATAAGAAATTTAAGCTGTTCTCTAAGTGTTACATTCCTGTCGGGGAAATTTCGCTTGACTAGTTTGGCTGGCATTTCGTTATACCCTTAGCATCTGTGGATAACATTTTGAAGTCTAACTGTTCAAATGTACCGATTAGCACTATTTTATATTGTCAAACTTATTGCGGTTTCAAAAAAGCCATGGAAGAGTACTTTCCCATGCTAATACAATGCTGTGATATTAAGCCATACAAGATGGCTCTAACTCATCGATGAACTCTGACAATTGTAAAGGCTACTAAACAGTACTTTCCTGTTGAAATGTTTATCATGCTGTACATAGTGGTGTTACGTTTGTTTCTTTGGATGAAATGACAGTTACTCAGAGCACTACTTCCTTCGGTGCTGTTTACTATGCTGTACAAGGTTGGCTGTAACTCAGATTCTGTGGACGAAATTTTAATCGGCGGTGGTGTGCGAGTCAGTTCTAATTTTCAATCTATGGATCTCTGGTAAAATGTAAACATTTTTAAATCAATTTTGTTAATGGAAGCTACTGAGCAGTACTTTCCTGTGGTACTGTATATTATGCTGTACATTTTCACATTGATGAAATCCTGAAGTGTGGTCATTGAAATAAAAGCTGTTTGATCACTACACTCTTTTCGGTGGTAAGTTTTATCATGCTGAGCAAAACTGTTTTGCAACATTTTCAGTTTCTGATAGCAAGTACCAGATGATTTTAACTCCAAGGCTCGTAACTGGAACACATGCCAATTAGATTCGGATTTTTCTACATACTTAAGTTACTGAGTACAAGTTTTTTATGTTACCTTAAAGTCTGTCTGTCTGGAGGAATCTCCAAAGCGTTATCAAGGGAACAAAAACTGCTTCCTCGGCTCGCGAACCAAAAGGTGAGACACTGTTCCGTGTCTCTGTTTCGTGACCTTTTCAAAGTGCATGGGTAACAGGTTATTCGAGCTAGTGTGGCTTAAAGCCAAGAGAGAAAGCAATACCATTGCATGGAAACTGGTTAAACGTTGCCAATTTTGATTTTGACAGAAATTAATTTATGATGTTAGGTCATATTTATAGGTCAGGGGAGACATATGGCTTTGAAAATAGTTACATAGACTGCAAAACAGTCCGAATTTTTTGTGAATCAAGTACGAGCGAACAGTCAAACAAAATGTCAGTGAGGCTTGCGCACTTCGCGCGTGCGAGACTCTTACGCTAAGCTAACCCGATTTTAAGAAAAAAACCCGACTATTTTGCAGTCTAGTAGTTACATAAAATGAAGAATGATAACGATTTGATCCATTTTCACCCGTAACACAGTATCATCGCCTTCATCGATAGGGGGCGCATCTTAATGACATTTTCCTGAGGGCTTTTACAGGAAATCAGAAAATGTGTAGAGATACGTTGCTGGTCTCTTGCCCCATCTATCAGTCTGGGGCCTTTTTCGACTGAAAAAAAAGCTAGAGCTAGTTCCTTGCTCTGGCCTGCAAACTACTTTTTTCACCCTTGGGTACACCTTCCCTATCTGCCAGGGGAAGGGGGGGGGGGAGAGATACTCCCTGTGGCCTGTACGGAGAGGCTCCACCAGAAAGGGGTGCCTTTCTCAGGCTTCAGGTATATGAAAGGGTGGGAAAATTTGTCATCTCGCTGTTTGAGGGACCTTAAACCTTAAACGCCAAAACATGTAATGACAAAAAGACTAACGTACAGTCAGTAGGTATGTGAAAGGAGCACAATATTTCAATGGAATGTATACGAAAAGGGTACCTTTAATGCCAAAGGTGGTATATGAAAGGGTAAGGGGTTGGAAATCGGGGCGGAGCCTCCCCATATAAACGTTGTTGATTAGCCCCCCCGGCGCTTAGCTGTCTTCCTGTTTCATCTCATTCCCCGGGTGTTTTCTAAAGCTATTTGAAGTAAAGGGAAGGGTAGGAAAGACTTTCATTCACTATCCGCTATGTTAAAGAACGTGCCAAATATCTCGAACCGTTTTGGTCGTTCAGCTAAGAAAGTAAAATGGGACTAATTTTCAAGGCAGGTTATCGTTTCTGTCATAAATGACATCCGGAAGGGTTAAATGAGCAGAAAAGAAATTATCCGTTAATACATAAAAGAAGCAACTGCCTATTAACACAGTCGTGTTGGTCTTACTATTTGACTAGCACTATGCAAACATGCCTCTGATGTACGCTACGTCTATATAAAAATAGCTCCTGCATTAGAGCGTTTCACATAACCTGGAGGTTCGCCCAAACAATGAAACGTTGGCCATGTTTTTTGTCTCAAACCCCCAAGGAGGGGAGGGGGGGACTCCTCTATATAAGCCATATAGGTTTGTGCCGCTTAAAAGGGTAGGGTTTTTGGGTTTTGATCTGGAATCGGGTGTGGGTTTGAGGTAACTATGGGGGTCTATGAACGTTTCATCGTTTCAATTCCTGATGAATAAGTATGAAAGAAGAAATATGTGAATTCGAAGTGGATTTTTATTTTTTTTTATTTTTTATTGTTGGCAACCTAATCTAGGTAATGATGACAATTTGTTAGAGGCCAGGTCTGGAAACGGGTGTGAAAAATGATAGTTTTTGGTCTAAAATGTGTCAGGATTTGAAGAACCGGGTGGCACACTCCCCACCAAGAAATCCAAGGAGTACTCCCCGGGCCCAAAGCTGAACCGGTTTTTTGTCACAATAAATTTGCACATCTGCTGGCCACATGAGTGAGAACGCTCTATAGGATGCTGGTAAGCAAAATACCCGGGGCGTACGGCCATATATGGGCTATATGGGTATGTGCCGCTGTGAAGGGTATGCTTTTCAAGCAGGTTACACTGGGATAGTGTATATAAATCAGAGAGTTTGGTTCTAGAATAGGGTATCATTTTCCAGGAAACTGATCAATTGGTTGAAGATTTTAGTCTAGACTAGGGAAACCGGGAATTGCCACTCAAAAATATATTTAAAAAATCAAATCGGCGCGCAACTCAGCCTAAAAGCTACTCTAGGACAGGGGGATTTGGGGAGTTTAGTCTAGTAGTGGGTGGCAAAATTCAGCTGAACTAGTTCTGGTAAAGGCTAAGGGTTCCAGGCTCCCAAAGGCAGATCCCAGTTTAAAAATTCCCAAAGTGCCCCCCTCCCCCGGGGCAAAATAGCAATCACGAACACAGGATTGAGAACATAAAGCGATAAAAGTGATTCAATTTATTGCATTTTTCAAGTTTCAACTTTATTTCCCTCAAGCATAAAGACACTGTCATCGTTATAAGAGCTGAGATAATTCTTGTTTTGGCAGCATTTGCCTTCTAAGCATCAAAAGTTACAAATGAAGATTTTATGCAACTTCATCATGGCGAAGACACCTACCTTTCAAAAACTTAGAAGTCATCTTTATCTTAAAACAATTACGCTTTTTCAAATTTACAGATGTTGTCGGACGCCTATCAAAGCATACAACTTTTCAGTTTGGTTTCCTTGTTTTCTTATCGCATTTGAAGAGAGTTTGTAAATTGAAAGACATAGCGGCAGGGCTGCAAAAGTTTGCTGTTATTATAACCGTATAAACCGTAGGTGCTTACCATTTACAGAAACCATCCGGTTGAAAATCTTGTGCATAAACATAAAAATATAAAATTTTACGTGGTGGAAGATTGACCTGCTAAAAAGTATATCCAAATCATCTGCACAGACTAAAAAGAAGGAGAAAATTGCTTCAGCTTAAATCACAGCCCATATTTTCTGACGCTTTTCAAACGGAATGGCGCGAGATTCACCAATCAGAATGAGCTATTTGTAGTGTGATTTGCCTGGCGCGAAGTGGTCGGAATTTCCGGTTATCCCATGTAACTGGTAAGTACCCCCTGGCAAACATTTTAGTCGAACAAACCAGGAAAACTTATGTGGCATACGTAATAACTGTTGCCCATAAATTTCTTTAAGTACTATACAACGCTTGAAAACGCTAGTCTTCGGTATTTGATCTGTCCGGTCATGGCGCCCGACCAAAGTTAGGATTTTCACTGGGGGGAACGCATTTTCAGGGACCAAATTTTTCATTTGCAGCTCTGCGCTGAGTGCCCTAATGTTTAAGTCAGTTGAACATATGATCATAAAATGGGGAAAGTCGACTTTTGTAGCGAGTTACGGGCGCCTCCAAAGGCGTTTTATAATGTGTGTTCTCTTGTGCTTGGTGCCTTGCTTATTATTTTTGTCCCCGATCGCTGCTGTTGTTCAAACCCTCTTGCTTTGTCACAGGCGACGAGGCAGTAGAGCTGTGACTTTCGACCTGTGATTTCCCACTCTCTGACGATGATAATGAACTTGGATTGATTGTGGTCTTGTTTGAGGTAGTAGTCACAGCGGTGATGGGAGACGATTTTTTCGTACTAGGCGTGGTCGTGACAGGACAATATTGTTTGCATTTGGATGGATTGTTAATAACTTCCCACAGAGAGTTTCTGAAACAAAAAAAATGCTTTCAGCCCTTTAACCAGTAAAGTCAACTCTCTCAACAAACCGACAACTCTACAAGCGGACACTTTCCTACAACGGACATCAAGGAGCTGGTCACCGCCATTTTACAGTCGTTTTTATATTATTCTCTCTCTCTATAAGGTACTGGAGACACCTGACCTCAATGTAAACTTTCTACCGATCCCAATGCAACGCTGTCCGTCTTAAACAGGTTTGTACTTATTTAGCAAATAAACGTTGTTACGCTTGGGGAAACTTCTACCATGCCGATTCCCCTAGTAATCATTAATAGTTTTAATCTTCTCTTTTCTGTTTTGGTTTTTCTTCTTCTTTTTTCTTACCGCATTTTATCGCTCTTCCCCTCACTTCCGCTACGAACATTTTGGGAGAAGTCCCCTTTCTATCACGTTTTCCCGCCAAAATGACGCTGGTTCACGTGTACGCACTACCTAGTACTGCAAAAATCTTGTCTACGTAATAGTCCTCGTCTTGAAAGGTTTCTTCAAACTCATATGAGGATGCAATTTACCTGACGAATGGCCATCCAAGGTAGCTGTATGGCATAGAGAAGTGCTTAACCAGTAGTCCGCACCGATCGTAAATCAGTATATCGTCTTTTGCACCACCTAGCATTCCCATGATATCTTGCGAAACTGGCTCTTGGTAGACTGGAAAGGAGACTCTGCTGGTCAACTGGGAGATTGTGGAGGCGGCCCTTTTCATGTTCAAAATCATGAACGAAACGTCAGTGATATTCCTAAATGAGGGAAAACGTACTCATGAAATTAACTTCACTATTTCAAAATAAAGGTGAAAAACTAGAAAGTATTGTCTTACCTTTGGGTTACCACCTGAATCAAAAGGAGCTTTTGAAATTGTGCTTTTTTATAATTGCCCAGATCTTTCGATTGCCTAGATTTTTAGGCAAGAACGAGATGATCCAGACGTAGACCTGAGTTCTATTCCGGCTATTGTTATCGCCCTAATACATGTCCCATGGGAACAGCTCTGGTGCAATGCGCGATGATCCAGACGATTGGGATTGTCGCAGTGGCCTAGAAAGAAATGCTTATATCCATGTAATCCCCCGAATGGAGATGATCCAGGGAATTGCAGTATTGATCCTGGTCACGAACCTATATTTCTGACATTTTCAACCTTGCTTAATGGTAGAGATCTCTTCATTTAAGTCCCATACACAAACAGTTTATTTGAAATTTTAAATACGGAAACTCAGTGCAACGGTCGTGACCATGTTTAAACTTTTTACTGGGATAAATTTCATAAAGCCGGAAGGCTCCTAGTAATCAAGAGATAGCACGTAAATCAAAACGTTTTTCCTTCCTTAAAACCTTCTCCGGCAAAGCAGCGAGAGCTGAAATTTGACTGCGACCGGCGGTTCGCAGGAGAAAAAAAATGAAGAGGACATTGAGAAGGTTGAGTCGTGTTATGTCTGCAAAACACTACGTTTGAAGTCTTAGCCTGTAAGCTACTAGCATACTACTCACAAGGAGATGTCCTTAGGGCTCGTTACGCAATCTTCATGCGTGACGAACCCAAACGACCTTGTCTGCGTAGGACCCTATAAACCCGTCATTGCATGGTGCGATAGGTGTGTAGATTCATGCGCGTTTAAGTGTTACCTTTTAAAGACTACGTTCTTGTACATGACGTTCATTTGGCTAGCCTGCCACTGACAAAATCGTCAGCTGGCCAACAGTAGTCCAAAGATAACCACGTGACCCTTAGAGCGTGCTTCAGCCAATGGGTTCAGTTGATCAATCTTCCATGAGGAAGGCCGCTGGCATGTTCTTGAGCCTTCACTTTGAACCACCAAGGCAAGCAAGATAACAGGCAGCAGAATGCTTACAGGGCGCATCCTGGGCAAGAAAAGCTGCAATGAAAACCTTGTGTATCAATATTTTAAAAATTGTGAAAGCACTGAAATACCCACTCCTGTTTTCTCAAAATAGGTCCCAAATGTATGTTAAGCGCCAAAGGGATTTTTTTTAGCTTGTCGGCTCACCTCTGTTGTGAAATTGGATATAGAACTATGTGAAGGAATTTAACTGTTGTTGTGTAAAATTAAAAGAACCGGTGTTAAATTGAGGTTATTACACTGAGATACCTTGAATCATGCGGTCAGAGCTGCTAAAGCTCTTCTGATTTCTTAAATGTTGACGGAAACCTAGTCGTTTCGTTCCTGGGTAACTGGGATCGTGTGTCGGAGTGTACGTGCTGCAAATGGACGGCCCTGAAATGTCAAAGGTATCGAATTCTGTAATTATAGCATAAGTTGCAAACCCAGCTAATTTCCTCGAACTCTTTTTCACTTGGCAGGTTTCTGCCACGTTTTAAAAGCAATAAATTGTGTTGTTACCTTTGACACTTATTTAAGTGCATGTCAGTATTCCTTCTGGAATGACAATACCAATAGAATTGTCAATTGTCGCTGTGGACTGGCTGCTATTTAATATTTTTGTATCAAAATTTCGGTCAAGGGCAAATCAGGGTCCGGTGAGATATTAAACTCGCATATTTCGGGGTTGGAATAGAGTTAAGGATTGTAGGAAGAATTTGTCCATCCCCTGGACTAAGAGCACCCTCGACTCCGCTTTATCATGCTGTTCGCCAGTTCGCGAATGGTTGGATAAGCTATTCGGAAAAAGAGTTTGTTTGACACCTCAGTAGCAGAATATAGAGTACTACTCACAAAGCGCAGTGAAAAGAAAAACTCAGCTACAATACCGTTGTAGGGGAGGGGGGTCCGTACAAAAGCTAAGTAAACCTGACGCTGTTTTCACATTTCACAAAGCCACATGTTACAATACAGACACTAATAATGGCCAAAAAAAAAAAGAGAAAGAAAAAAAAGGGTTTGACTTCATATCTTGAGGTACTTATTTTTAAACACGGTTTTTAACCAAAAAAAGGTACCTTTTTTGTATACCTTCTATAGAAACTGGTTTTCCTTTCATAGCCACAAAAGCGCTTGAGATAACAGTGCGACAGTATTGGACATGACTGAAGCGCTTCGGTAAATGATTCACAAATTTCAGAAAATGGGATAAAAGTCTTAGCTGCAATACTCTAAGTTACTTTGAAACGCCCTTTTTAATACTATGATAGCTTTCCTTTTGTTTTCTATACCTCAAATTGTGAAATCCTTACTCTTATTGAAAACGGTAACGCAATCCGGGGGAGTATAACTGTTTACCCAGTCCATTCATCCCCTTTGTCTCTTATAAAGTCCTTAAAATTAAACATTAAAGGCGAAGCGCGTCGCGTGTAAGACGTGCGCTGCGGGAGGTAGAATAATTCTCCCTTTCTCTCCTTCCTATCGTCCCTTTCGCCGAGGTGCCGTGATGACCGTTCCGTGACCGCCTACAAATGATAAGAGACGACTGGGAACGAGTAAGGCTACAAGGAGTTCCCCCTCCGGGATGCTAAGGCCCCGGGGAGGAATGCACTTTTAGAATTATTTTGACTTCAAAACGATACCCAGTTTAAGAAACACGCCAGTTTTTTATGTTAAAAATGCTATCAAAGATGATAACAACCAAGAGATCATTCCGATCTCTGGGAACAACTCATTGTGTTCTAAACTCGTAAGATTCTAATCTAACAGATGTTTGACCTCGAAGGCATGATCAGACTTTCATTCGTTACAAAAGCACAGAATACATATTAAGATTATTTGTCTTTGCTCTGAGACTCTTTGAAACAACTTACCCGACAAGACAAAAGGTGTCCTCAGCAGCAAACGCAAAGTACAGTACAAAGCTGAAAGAAACTGCTCATACGCTTTCAACAACAAAGCACTCGCGACGAGCTTATACTATATATGGTCACAGCAAGAAGGACTGGCAAGTGAACATGATACCCATGTCGGTGGCAACCTGTGTTCATTGATGAACTACAGGGATTAGTCATGTTTGCGGCTTAGCGTGACGCCTCAATAACCAGGACAAAATTCGGCGCATACCGTAGCCTGCGAGCAAGCTCTCCACTTGGGGGATATCGTGAAAAGTGGACGCGCGAGAGGCACGCGAGAGGAGACGCGAAAGCGAGCGGGGGGGGGTCGCGTTTATAAACTACCGCTTATAAACACCCCTCCCCCGCTCCTCACCAAGTTATTGGCCTATCCGGATCTACCTGTACTGTAAGCTAAAACATCTGTTTATACCCCCCCTCTTAGATAGAGGCCTCCCTCTTACTCCGCCCCACTCCGAATTTAATTTATTGTGACGTTTTAAAGCTAAACTAGTATATTATATTACGAGAAGCCACTCTTTTTTCTCAGTCCATCGAGCAAAACGCGCGAGACACGAAAATGACAACGCGCGTGATGGATTGTTATCTGGGAATTTTTTGCAACGTTTTTGTGCGACGCACGTAAACCAGAAGTGAGCTTTTTTTCCCTCCTGTAATTCCTTGACGCATCCAAGTTTGTATGGATGAGTGTCTCTACTCTTATAGCCTGACGATTTGCCCAAACGTTTTTGCAAAATCACGTCTCAAGTGTGCAGGTGCAAAAGTCCGGTTGGCTTGCCTCATTGAAAAAAGTCCCTGCTTAAACGCCGAGCGGCTTTGCACAACGCTCACATGCGCGTGCACTCCCTTACAAAACAGTGGGGGATCCAGGGGAGGGGTAGTCTCCCTGGCAGCCGTTTTTTGATGTCATGGGGAGCATTGGGTGACACGACTGTGAGGGAGACTAGGGGAGGGCCCCCTTAGTTTTAGACCAAACTGAGGCCCAAAGGCCGAAAAAAATTTTTTGTGACTGCCACTCTCCCTATCTCAAGGTCTGGATGACCGGGTCCCCGCCTTATCTGAAGGTCTGGATCTGCCATGACTGCTAAATCTGAAGAAATAGATAAACTGCCCTCAGCCTATATTTTGATTAGCATGGCTACAGCTTGTTTGGAAGCACTTTTTCTTTACCGCCATTGTAAGCCACTCTGCTCCAGTGAGCCCTCCTAAAACCCAAAATATAAGCTTAATTAGGTACATAATTCCCGAAACAAGCCCAAAAATTATTTTCCGAACTTCCCCGAAAAAAGCTCTAAAATTCTTTTTAAAATGTCTAAAATTCTTCAAACATTACCAGGTCACTTTTAAACAACATAGGATTTATTCAACATTTTTAACAAACATATTAAATTGAAATTCCGCTCTATTTGATTCTTAGTTGACTTCTAAACATACAACCCTTGCATTAAATTTAGAACTGGCATCTCTGGAACTATATGTCATGAATAAGGCAAACAATCACTGATGCGTTTTACCTAGAGAAATTAGTCAATGAATTAAAATGTACAACTTCAGACATTTCATATTTTTTTCTCCTTATTACTAGTTCTTGATAACATCTTATAAATGGTAAATTTTGGATCATTTTGTTAAACACTAGCATAATTTTCATGGTTACTTGTAAGGTTATACCTTTATTATAAATAAATCATTCAAGTCAATTAATTAATCCGTTAATTAATTTACCTAACATTTCGGGACACCTAAAATGTAACGGAACACGAAGCATAACGCAATCGAGACTGTCTGTCATGCAATAAAACATTCATTTTTAAAATGAGTGTACATTCTTCATCTCGCTTTTATTACTGTCACTACAACATAGAACATGAACAACGTTTAGGCTCAGGAACGACCTAACAAGGTTTATAAACAAATAGTCAGATAGTGTGATTCAAAGCAAGTTTGTGTTGTCCCAGCGCAGTGTGACTTTCGAAAAACCTCCCACAGCGCACACAAGCCCAGTGAAAAAGCTCTTCGCTGTGTTGATTCAAACTGACTTTGGACTTGAAGCTCTTGAAGCAAACGCCGCAGGTATAAAGGATATCAATAAAGCGAGACGGATTTTTCAGACGGCCTGTACGAAAGCAGTAAACACTGTGTAAAAACGCTTGGCGACGCTTGTACCATATGGTATAACTAAACTGAAAACCGTATTCATAGCCTGAATAATCAGAAGACCCGGAATTTTTACGCTCCCTGGTGTACTTCTCCACCGCTACCCCTTGTTGAGAATCATCATCATAACCTGCTCTCTCGTCTGTCTCGTCACGCAAGCTGTGCCTTGCATACGGGTGAAAGCGACGATGCCGTTTCTTACAACGATGGCGGTGTCTCATTTTCCGTTGCAGACTTCTCTCGCTGTACCTGCGGCTGCATTTCTTGTAAAAATACGACTGTCGCTCATCTTCTTGGAGAAGTATATCCACGTCTCTCGAAGGAGTGCGCCGTGTTGTGATTTGCAAGTTGTCGCCGCGCCATGAAAACGAACGAGTGTCTTCCTTCAGAGAAGCAGAGCCGTACAAGAGTGAGGGGTAATCAAACACATTCTCCACGTATTCAACCCTTTTTGTCTTGACATAATTGCATTTCCCAACCTTTTCCAGCTCTCTCAAGACCCAGAGCCTTCGGTTATTCAAGGTGTACCATTCCCACTTCTCCGGGTAAAATACCACTTCGATGAGCGGAATATCTTCCAGCAGAATTTCTCCATTTTTGAGCTGAGTAAATGTCTCAAGCAGAGGAATTCCGTTGTCAAATTTGGATGCAAGCACGTTCTTAGTGAAACGTATTTCTGAAGGTTTCAAAAGAACGAGGTAAGTAAAATTCATCGCGATATTGTTGAAGTGATGGCCTTATCATCAGCGAATGACAAAGATGTTGTGCAGGAATTGATAAACAAGATTAGTCGTTCCACGTGCGCACGTGGAAAATGGCGCGAAATATTCCCAGGGGAGTCTGATCGATCGAGGAAAGAAAAACAAACATGAATACACTTACAGGGGGAGGGGTAGAGTCTATTTAAAAGAACATTATTTTTCTTTTACAGACATTTCTTTTTCCGAAACACTCTCTAATACTTTCAAAAGTTTAGTTCACTCAAAGTTCACTCTTATCAGCATTCCTTATTCATTGTCGATCTCTAACGCCCAATAAACAGGTTACAGAATTGGTTACAGGTGAAAATTAAAAACTCACACGTTTATTGAAAGGTATAAAGAAAGTATTAGTGGAGGAAAATTATACTAACAATTTAAAAAATAATCATAAGAGAAACCATGCTTACTGAAAATAAAGGAAAGAAAAATGTGAAACCAGTGCAGCGGGTAGATATGGTTCCGTGTGGTGAGGGGTAAGGATGGTTTTTGAGCTAGAATTAGTCACCAGTCTCTTGTCGACCATTTTCTGGGAATCGTTCATGAGGTGAAGTAAATGCAGAAGAGAATGTGAAACTTGCCGACAAAATGTATATTTTTCCGCTTCTTTTAACTACTGTTACCTTTCTTGGCGGCTCCACGTTGGTAAAAGCGGACATTGATGCTGGAAAAACGCCTCCAATGGAAGAATGGGTGAATCCTGGAGACATGATTAACTATGACACTGATACCAAGGTTAGTTTCGTTTTCAAAATTTAAATTTAATGCACAATATTATTTTGATACAAGCTAAAGCTATGGTTGCAAAGCATAGATAAAATTTAGGTCTTCCACATTCTGCAACGAAAAATGTATGTGTACATTAAGTGAGAGACTAAAAAGAAACAATTATCAGTTAAAAAGTTGATGCCGATTTTTTGGGGGGAGGGAGGATGGGGGAGAGGGAGTTGGGGGAGGTTGCGCGGGAATGGGGGTCTAAGTGGGGATCCGAATACAAATTTCGGCTTAAAATGCCCAATCACTGGGCGATGTTTTGGTTCAAGTTTCCCACCATTACTTGTTTTTTGGAATAATCATTGTGTCTCGGAAAAGCTTGGCGAGTCATGAAGTGTAGTAATACCAAGAGGAAGACTGCCCAGCCCTGTTTGAAATTAATGAGCAGCTGGTATGAAGTGGCAGTACATCATAAACTAAACTGAGAAATTAGTGTGCAGTCTTAGAATGTGCGGTTAAAAAAGTTATTTCAGAAGCAGACGAAAAAGACTGCCTTAGAACCTCTTTTATATCATATATTTCGACTGTAAATTATCTAGATCATCAACATTCTAGTCTGCATTTTTGAAGTCCATATAACCTTCTCCCAGTGCTTACTTCATATTTTAAATGACTCTAAAATGTAGGTAGTGACATAAAACAGAAGATTGAAAAGAAGCTGAATAATATCGTCACCACAAACAAAAGCTAAGAAAATAATAGGTTCTGCAACACCAAGAAGCACCCAAAATGTGGATTTCTGGGTATAATGCTCAAAATCGAAAAGGCTCTCATCCATTCTGTGTAGTTCAAATTCCTGACACCACAAAAGTTTCAAAATTCTCATCAAGGTAACACTATTCAATGTCAATTTATTTTGTTTTCGACATTGTTTGAACGTCCCGGTCTTACAGCCAATAATTTGTCCGAAGTTTGCTAACATTTCCAATCTGGAGCTATTACAGGTCTTAAAATTAATGCTCGCAAACTCACAAAATGCGAGTGATTTTGATAATCTGCGAGTGAGAAAAATATCCACTTGCAGACATTTGCGAGTTAGAATCACCCATGTCTCCCAGACGAAGACAAAGAATTTGCTATTGGTCTCGCCAGTTTGCTAGTGGCAAAAAATCTTACTAGCAAAACTTTGCAAGTGCACTTAAAAGTTAACTTCGAGCCCTGTATTAATATTGATAGGTATGTAAGCCCCTAGTATATTCTAGTATTATTATACCAGCTAATTTTCTGAGAACACTTCCAACCCTTATCCAACCTGGGAAGAATGGAGAATCCTGTGTTATTTTTTAACAGTTGATTGCAGGCAACACTGCAAAAGCAATGAAGATGAAATCCATTAGGAAATTGAGTAATACTAATTACTTTAATTTTTAGTGGAAGAAAACCTTGTACCAGAATAATTTAAAGCATATTGCATTCTTTTTCACACTTTTCAAAGGCTAACTCCAAAGAAATGGTTCTTATTGGAGCCTGAAAGAACATACTTTAAAGGCCTCAAATTTCATAAAATGAAGTCTTATACATGACGATTTTACCTGTGTTTTGTCAATTTCCATGAATTTTGAAATTTTTTTCTTGGGCTCCAGTAGGGAATCATCTTTGGTGCTATTACAGATAACTAATTGCATCTATAGCCCTTGAAAAGTGTACAAAAGAATTAAATATGGCTTAAAATATCCTGGTACAAGGTTTTTGTCCACTGAAAATAAAAATTACTCAGTTCCTAATGGATTCCATCTTAAGACTTTTAGGGATGTCACTAACAGCCAGCTGCCAGGTAATAGTCTGGCTGAAAAATGGCTTACCACTGGCTCAGATTACTCTGAAAGAAAAAGCAAGTGGTAATTGCGGAGGTAGTTGACTTAAAAAGCCGGCTTGACTAATAGAAAAAGCTTGCCTAGGTTTTCTTTAGCTACATCCCTGTTGTTTTTTTTCAAAGAACTACAACGAAGCAACTGGTATAAAGATCACAAGGTGTCCCTGCTAAGGACCTAAGACAGCCCCACCCAATGAGAAAAAACCAGTGGCTCATATTAATAATAAATTTGGTTTCAAGGTTAACTTTTCCTAAATTACATTTTAGCCACATTAACTCACTCTTAGGTAGTGGCATTTTGCAGACTATTTTGCATGTTGCTGAAAATAATAGCCTATGAAAGTTTCAACTAAATCAGTATGTCTCTGCATTGTCCATAATAGGTTATATGTGGCTAAATTCAATTTAGGTTAGGTTAAACTCAAGACAATGTTTTCCAGTGGTCTGCTTCTTTTTCTCAGGGTAGCAGTAATGGAGCCAAAAGTCAAGACCCAAAAAAATCCCTAGGGCTTCCAGCAAAACCCAAAAAAATCCCTAGACCAAAAATTAACCCCCAAAAAATCCCATGCAGATTTCTGCAGACTATTGTATAACACGTGCGATGTAAAGTGACACCATAGTTAACTATTAAACAAAAGCAAAATGCGTTTGTTTGTACTTTATTCGCAGAACTACGCAGCCAGGGCACTACCGATTCTTTTTAATACCCCAAAAAATCCCTACTCAAATCAAGCTACCTAAGCCAAATTTTCATACCCAAAAAAATCCTGGAATCGAAAATTTCAAACCCAAAAAAATGCTTCGATCATCCCCATCACTTGAAATCCCGAGTACCCCCCCTGGGCTCTGCTATAGTCACAGATTTTGCTGACACTTGCATTCAGTTGCTGGAAGTCTCATTTTGCTGCTTGCCTTCCATTTCCCCTGAATGTGTTTTGGTACATATGGGTAGTTAAATTTTTCTCACTGAGGATTTAAGTGTGAAGGTGTCTAAGAGTTACCCCTTACAGGGTTGTCATGGTCATATTCCATGTTCACTTGCTCCAAGACTTTTTAGACACCCTCCCCACACTCATCCATAAGATTGGATTAATATTCATTCAAAATATTTCCCCGATTCTGATTGGCTAAAAGCACATGCATAATTCACCATAACCAGTTACTGATGACCAAATTTGGAAGAATTTTGTGTTTAACGAGGAAGTGACATCAAAAATGCAGTGTTCTTGCAGGTTAAGGCACTGTTAACCGAGAAGATGAGGTTGTGTTGTTTTGGTTGTGAAAACAAAAAAAAAATGGCGTACATTTCACTCGTTTCAAGAGTAAGAACTAGGCGAAATTATACCTAGAAACATGGCAAGAACAGCAAGAACACAACTTGAAGGGTGACATCTGCTATTTGGAGAACATTTGCGGAGCTGAAAAACCCTAAACATGCACTATCGAAGGTGAACTTAACGTCGATGGAGGTAAGCATGTTTTAGCTCTGTTTTTAAACTAGGAATTATTTTGAATGAATAATAAAACAATTATTGAATTCGGCTTTTGTATCATATGAAGAATTATGGAGATCTCAGAGGATAACACCCTCTTCGATCTCCATAATTCTTCATAAGATACTCAGCCTCATTCATTAATTATTGTTAATTAATGCTCTTTTGTATATGTTGTGGTTCAATTTTATCCTTGGTTTAAATTTTATTTCCTTTTTGGGGGGGATGGTAATATATGATGACGAGTTTGAAACAAAAGAAAATAAAATTTAAACCATGGATAAAATTGAATGACAACATTTACATCACCAACAGGTGAAAACTGATTGTGGTTCGCTGCAAGCACAGCTTTCACAGTGCGAACAAGATTTGAAAAAAATGCCATCAAGTTGCCCATCATGTGCTGAGAAAACTGCTGCTAATGCATCACCTTCACAGCCTTGTGATACTCCATACTTCAAAAAGCTTGCAAGAACCATCCTTGGACACATTGAAGATTACGGCAGTTATGAAGTAAAGGTGCCTGCTTCAGAAGATGATTCTTCAACTCTCGAGAAATTTGTCTCGTCAGATAAAGGAAATGTGCAGGATGTCTCTGAGGTTATCACTGGTATTTTAACAAATTTCAAAAGCCACGAAGAAGTGTTTGGCTTCAGCAAATGGGACACATCAACTTTAAGTTACCTAACCAGAGAAGCAATCCTTCTTTCTGTGGCTTTTATTCTTGTAATATGTGCTGTTGTTATTTTTGAGATGCGTACAAACTTGTCTTGGCGATCACAACTGTGGCTTGTTCTGTTGGTGAGTTTCATCGTCAGTATTCCTTGGGAATGGTACCGTTTGTACAGAAAAGCATTTGCCTCCAAGCAAGCTCAAATGGCAAAGGCAAACGAAATCCCAAAGGGTTGTCTACCTGATCATGAGTTGCGTCCATGGGAATCGTTCAAGCTATGGTTTAGTAGTTCATTTACATTTTCAGACGACATCTGTACCCGATACCAAGAGACACTACTTGTTGATCCATTCTGGGAAGTATCCCCATCAAAAGTAAGTAGTTTTGTTTTTTATTCAGTGCAACAGCTTTCCTTTGTCTACAGCTATTTTGAGAGAGGTTGTTGGATAAAGTGCATGCAACAGTACCAAAAGGTATTGGGTATTCTTCAAAGAGATTTGAAAGAATGGCATGAGAGGCCATGGACGTGTGTTTGCAAATACTAAAGGAAAGCAACAAAAGAAAGTTCAACAGCTACAGTATCAGTGTATTGATTATCTCCCACATTACCTTTCTAGATTGTTGCATGCACATTTTTTCCGACTTAACCTTCCTTTAAATAGCTGTTTTACTGTCTTCCCAAACAAAAGATAAGCAATTCTTCAAAAAAGCAGTAATGTCGAAAGTTACAGGAAAACAGGCAACAAAAAACTTGCAACTTGTTTTGCAACATTGCTACATAATGATTTAAATAGCAATGTTGTGAATTTTACCACCCTACAAGTTGCCTGTTTTACCATACAGCATGGGATAGAACAGGGTCCAAAATTGCGCCTTCCTGGTCGCCAATGCGACTAAAACTTTAGTCCTGGCGACCAGAATTTCATAGCTGGTCGCCAGCTAGCGACTTGTAAAGCTGGTTGTTATCGTGGACTTTAACGTTCGGAGAAACTGGTTAAGAATTGAAGCCTCGAAGCTGTTTGCCAACAGGTGTTTTATTTTTTGTCCTGCTGATATTTTTAAATTAAAAGTGAAACGAATCTTCCTGTACTAATACCTCAACAACAGCTACAATCAATACGAGTTGAACGTTTCCAAGCCGCCATGTTGTTTTCAGCTGAAATACGGTAAGTACGTTATGTACTTTGTGGATTGGTACGAGTAATGTGGCACAAATGTGGCCTGGTACGAGAGACATGGCGGCTTGACTCGTGTTTATGTTTCGTGTTTCGTGGTCGTTATCGGAAGAAAATAGAGTTTTGATATTATCAGTGTAGTCATGGGCAGACAGCTT